ATATAATTATAGAAAAAAAAAACAAAAAAAAACAGGGTACAGACGGGGTAATGGTGCTGGTAAAGCAAGTATGATGCCGTTAACTACCCGTTCCGAGATGGGACTGACAAGGAGTTCTATGAGGGCATTTCAGGTTGGTCCTATCCAAAGTAAGGGAGATGTCCCAACCTAGTGCAGTCATCTTTCAATGTGGCTCACACTCTCTTTCTGGGGACTGATTAGGTTGTTTCAATCTGACTATCAAAGGACATGCCAAGTGTGTGGAATTTGTGAGGAATTTCAATCTGCTGATGCTGGGAGGAGGCTGCTACACCATTCGTAACGTTGCCTTGCGCTGGACATACGAAACAGCTGTGGCCATGAGCACAGATATTCCAAATAAGCTTCCATACAATGACTACTCTGAGTACTTTGGACCAGATGTTAAACTTCACATCATGACCACCCAGAACACTAATGAGTACTTAGAGAAGATCTAACAAGAAACCATCTGAGAACCTGAGAATGCTGCCTCCTGCACCTGGAGTTCAAATGCAGGCCATTCCTGAGGATGCCAGCCCAGAGGAAAGCGGTGATATGGATGAAGACAACCATGACCAACGAACGCATCTCTATCTGTTCCTCTGATAAACAAATTACCTGTGAAGAAGAGTTCTCTGACTCTAATGAGGGGGGAGAGGGTGGCTGCAAGAACTCTTCTAAACTTCAAAAAAGCCAAGAAAGTCAAAATAGAGGATGAAAAAAGAGACTCAGAAGAGAAGAAAGAAGTCACAGAAGAAGAGAAAACAAGGAGGAGAGGCCTCAAGCCAAAGGGGTCAAGGAGCAGACCTCGCCAGTTCTGGCTTCATGCAAAGTTCCCTACAATTCTTCTCAACCCCTCAAGAGTTTATATTTTCCATTTCTCTGTTTATTTATATAAAAGTATAGCTTCATCTGACATACTCTGGACATGTTGCAAGAAAGGACCAGTCCTTGGAGAGGGACATCACACTTGGGAGGGTGGAGGGACAGTATATGAGAGAAAGAACATGGATGAGACAGATTGACTCAGTGACTTGGGTAATGGGGATAGATGTGTCAATAAGATTGGCTCAGGATAGAGCAGGGTTCAGAGCTGTTGTATGTAGGGTCGCTATGAGTCACAAGTGACTCAACAACACATAACAACAAAAACATATTCAATATAAATGTCCCCAGGGACTAGACCAGAACAAGGGCGCTGAGCCCAGCCCAGAGCAGCTCTGCAGGTGCATTCTAGCTGCTGTCTTTTAAACAGACACAGGACAGAATTCTCAAGTGCAGAGTGCCTGTTTCCTTTTGGAAAGGTACCTTTATAAAGGTCCATCCTAGGATGGAGGTGCTGGGCCCTCAGGGATTCCTAGTTCTCTTCATGCTCTTTAAAGTAACATCAACCACTTTAGACTGGTTACTTTCTCATACCTCCCCACCACTGCAGCCTGAACCCATGTGAGCCAAAAAAAACTCTCACTGCCTGCCCTCTGTCCTCCCCAATTACGCAGGTAGAGTTTGATAGGCTACTTTCCTTTTTTCAGATAATATTTTCATGTTTGTGGGAATCTTTGCAACAAAATGGTACGTTTCTATTAAAAAAAAATCCAAATTCATTTTTTAGTTAAGAATGTCGGTCATTAAATCTTGCCACACTTTAACTGAATACTAATGATATTTAAAAAAATCTGATCATCATTTACAAGCCATTGTCAAAAATGCAAAAAAGTCTAAATCAGAGAAAAATTTTTTTCATCTAAACCTGTGCTATCTAACACAGTTGCCATTTAGGCATATGTACCTATTGTCAGCATGGTAATTTGAAATGTGGCGAATTTCAATTAGAATATACTCTTAAGTGTTGGACTGCTGACCAAAAGGTTGGCAGTTCAAACTCAGAAACTGCTCTGTAGGAGAAAGATGAGGTTGTTTCTACTTTTTAAGATTTATGGCCTCAGAAATCCCACAGCAGGTCATCATGAGTCGGAATAGACTCAACACTAGTGGCTATAAGTGTTTTAGGAGGCCTGGTGGTATAGCGGTTAGGTGCTCTGCGGTTAGCCACAAAGTCAGTGGCTGCGTGCCACTAGAGCCACTCCACAGGAGGAAGATGGAGCAGTGTGCTTACATAAATGTTTACAGCCTTGGAAATTCTGTGGGGGCAGTTCTCCTCCGTCCCATCGGTTCATGATAGTGATAACGGGTTTGTAAGAGTAAATAAATGTAAGATTTATAAATGTAATATTTTGAAGACTTTGTATAAAAAAGAATATGGGAGCTCTGGTGGCCTAGTGGCAAGGAGCTGCAACTACAATCCCAGAGGCGCACGGTTCAAATCCACCAGATGCTCTGCCAGGGAAGGAGGGACAATCTCCTCCTGTACCAGTCAGATCTGATTTGATGGTACACTCACAGAAAAATAATAAAATTAAAAAAAATTAAAA